ATGAGGGAGGGATTGGTCAAACGTGGCTGTATTCAAATTTCGCTAACATTTTCAAAACTGCACACTGCCTCTTGTTTTACAATTTGGGTTGTAAATGTACGAAAGGTCAGAGGTTCTGATCATGTGTCGGTGAAAGACTTGCTGACCCTGACCAGCCACCACTGCAAAACCCCCAAACTATGATGGGAAACAAGTGGCAATGTGTTTCATCGAGAGTGTCCAACCTACGGCCCAGGGGCCATTTGTGGCCCACCATCCATTTTTTTGTGACCCGCAACATGACAAAAAAATTTAAAAAAACAAAACAACTAAAATCGGCATTTGACAAAAAGGTGGACAGAGTAAGAAGGTTGGTTTTCAGAAAAAGATGTGCCATTGCTATGAATGAATTTGTTTGTATACTGTTGAATTTTTCTCCACATTCAAAGATACAAATAAACCACTTATAATTGAAAGAATACATTATCTTCAAAACACTCCAGTGAATGAAGATAATTACATTTTAGAGGCATAAATGTTTTCTTCCGTTTTGAGCTCTCTTGCCCGATTAATGAAGACATCACATCAATGATCCTCAAGTAACTCTTTAAAAAATGGTCACTTTATTACCGTTTGTTCTTTTCTTGAATGTGGAGATGTGATACGGCTGCTGTTAAGTGCAGAGCGGTGTCTATTCTGTGAGATAGACAGCTGTTGGCCACCCCAAATAGCTTGAAAAAATATTAAACTACAGTATTTACCGTAACACCTTTAACAGAAAGCTGATAATATGAACTCGAAAGTACAAACAATCGATACCAGCAAATGCTTTCTTCACTGACTTTAGGGTGTTTGAAAAAGTTGTGTGTGGCCCTTTCATCCTCCCATCTTTCTGTGTACGGCCCTGAAACCAAAAAAAAAAAAGTTTGGACACTCTTGTGTTACATAGTCCTGTTGTGTTTATCTTCAAAACACTCCAGTGAATGAAGATAATTACATTTTAGAGGCATAAATGTTTTCTTCCGTTTTGAGCTCTCTTGCCCGATTAATGAAGACATCACATCAATGATCCTCAAGTAACTCTTTAAAAAATGGTCACTTTATTTAGTTGGTTCTGAATGTGGACATGGGATTGGGCTGCTGTGAAGTGCAGAGCGGGGTCTATTCTGTGAAATAGACAGCTGTTGGCCACCCCAAATACCTTGGAAAAAATATTCAACTATTAGCCTTAACACCTTTCACAGAAAGCTGATAATATTAACAAGAAAGTACAAACAATCGATACCGGCAAATGCTTTCTTCACTGACTTTAGGATGTTTGAAAAAGTTGATGAATTTCAAAGTGGCCCTTTCATCCTCCCATTTTTCTGTATGCGGCACTGAAACAAAAAAAAAAAGTTTGGACACCCTTGTGTTACATAGTCCTGTTGTGTCGTACTGACGACAAATATGTTACATATGTTCTATCAGCACCCACATTTGTGACAATGTGACTTTCTGATGTTAATCTGACATCATGATGCCGCTGCAAGAGAAAGCGCGCTTTGATGCGCCAGTCCCTGCTGAGCCAGCAAACTGTTGCCATGTACCGAATGCTGTACACACACACACACACACACACACACACACACACATACACACACACACACACACGGGCAGAAGTGATGAACGCCCGCATATGTCCTCACGGGCTGACAGAGGCATCCAAAGGCACCTCAAGAGAAGACAACAGTAAATGAAGCTCACACTTTGAAATCCATCAGGCACGCTCACACACTTTGCCTCCCGACGGACGCCGCGGTCGCATCTGTCCGCCGCGGCGAGTGAGAAACAATTACGATGTGAGGAAAAAGACGCCTGCCAACGTTTTGGGCTCTCTTTTCCCTCGATGCTCCTCTCCTCCTGGTGACTTGTGAATGAGGTCATGGTGAAAAGATGTCTTCTTAGTATACGAGATTCCCAAATTCACCGCCCTGAGAGGACTTGCGGAGGCTTCTCAATGCAGCCCGGTGACGCTTCCACAATGCCCGTGAGTGATTCATCCCTTTTTGCACCATGCACACATACACAGACCAAAAAGCTCTCAGAAATATCATGGACAAAAAAGTAACTGAGGCTGGTTTTGACCCCATCTGTGAATGTGTCAGACTACAACACACTTTTTGTGAGCCACAAAAGAAAAAGAAAAAAAAAAACAGCTCATCTATGAGCTAGGAAGAAGCAGTTGCATAGCAAAAGAGCTGGCCCAAAGAAAGCAGAAGCCAAGTCAGCAGCTGCTCAGGACCTCCTGGCCACCAGGGTGAGCCCAAAAAGCACAATGACCTGTTTTTGTTTTGTTTTGTTTTTTACATATTAAACTGATTAATTGTGTTGAATGTTGAATGATCAATCCGGCAATTCCAACATAAGGGAACAGACGTGCAACTTGTATGGTAGATGAAATTTCTATTTAGATTCAAACGCTGCTCTGAATCAGTGCAGGTGCCATTATTTGAAGCTTTTTACACGCAACTGAAATTCTTCTCATCTTTCGTGATGTTTTAAAAAAGCTACATGTGAGAAAATTTGAGTTGCATCGAGCAAGCAGAGGGCTTCTTATTTTTCACGAGTGGACATGCTACAGCGAAGTCCAGATTGTCAGCGTTAACCCCGCGATGGCTCATGACAAAGCCGATCTTCCGCCACCGCAACTAAACAGACCTTGTTTACGACGGCTGCCACAATGCCTCGAACATCCCGGTCGGCGTATCCAAGGCGACGGATCGGCTCGAGTTTGTTTGCTTTGAGGCGGAACACATGGCCAGACCGTCACCTGTCGCTGAGGAAATTGAGCCTGTGTCCCACACCAGCTCTGTCCCTCAAGGTCCCTCAACCACACCTGGATTACTAAATACTGAATTCATTGTGACTATTTGGGCATGTACGTTCCTGAGATGATGGAACCTCTCACGTTAAGTATAAAAAAATCAAATGAAACACAACCACCCTGAGAAATATGCTTGCAAAGTTATATAACTCGTCAGACTCCAGCATCACCGTATGAAACATGATGCGTGAGGCTCATCCGCATCTCATATCATCTTCTACGGCCGCGATTCTCCAGGTGTGGTTACGCGGCTTCCCTCCATTGGTATATGAAGAAGTGCAGAATTAAACATTCAAACTCTGCAGGAGGTGAGAGTGGCTTGAACATTTTAATCCAGTGATTTGTTAAGTACAGTTCAGTTGTCTTTAACTTGTAAGTGCAATACATTTGCATTTGACCTTTTAGACCAGTTTGTTTTCATGCATGTATTTCGGGACAATTTTAATTTCGCTTATTTGTAAATATGATTTAAAGGCTGTTGACTCTTTCTCTCCTGCTCTCTCACTGTCTGTCTCCCTCTCTCACCCCCGGGCTCAGTCAGGGCAGACAGCCGCCCCACACTGCGTCTCGGTTTTTCCATGCGGGATTCAGTCGCTCTCTTGATGTGTGAGGAGCTCGTCTCTTGATCTGTATGCAAAGTGCTTTGAGATATCGTGTGTCGAATGAATATTATGTAGAAATAAAACCTAAGTGAAATTAATTATAGACGTGAACACGTGTTTTGTTCGGTTTGGGTTTTACCAGTGAAAATACGTCTTTTCTGAGAGTGAAAAAAAAAAGCAACATTACGTTACACCAAATAAAAGTCCTAGTGGCCATAGTTTGAGTAGAGTATTTCTATTTCTAAAATGTGTTTCTAATCAGAATAAAATGGAACACAGCCACTTTGTAGAACGGATAAGGGAACTCTTATCCATTTCTGGAAACTGCACACCTTAAATGTATGACAGTGTTTCTCTTTGGTGTTTTTCTCTGATCTGAACTGAATTTCTCAGAATTGGTTCAATTTTCACAGCATTGTGTCATTTGCACACATCCAAAAAAAAAAAAACATGTTTCTCGTTTCTTTGGACAAGGTACAAATGCTCTGGAACACCCATGCAAAAGATTACGTCGAATTCTCTGTTGTTTCCGACATTGTCAAATGCTTATGTAACGTTCATCAAAATAGTGACAAGTGTTGAATTGCCTCTCACCGTACTTTGGCATGAGTTCATCATAAAAGTCGTTAACATGCAAAACGGTTGAACAAGTTGTCATAATATGGGAAGCATATTTCTATACATTTCAATTGGACTTTTTTTCCCCCAGCTGAATCTTGACTTTTTCTGAAAAAGGGAAATGTGCGAAGTGGTACAGAGCAACCAGTGTCTGAAATAGCTCATCGCAAGTGAAGATAATTCTTGTGATGTGATGTGAATGTGAATTTGCGGCCCAAAGTCGGAAGACTGTCTTGTGACTCCAACAGTGTTGCATACACAATTTTCCCTCAGCAGCTCGTCCCATGTTCACATTTCTCCTTTTTTTTCAAAATCGTTTTTTTCCTTTCGGCTATGCGCTGCCTGTCTTTTCTTTTCCGTATTACCATGAGATGCTTTGTCAACAAATGACGACGCAAACAGAAAAGGTGATCTGTGAATCTTGCCTGCTCTCTTACAATCGATCTTCCACATACGCGAAGATGTAACTTTCAATTTATAATGCTCAATTTGTCATCAAAACTTAGGGGGCAGTTTACATCCATTCAAAGTACACTGTTATTTTGGCAAGACGACAAAGTGATTTGACTGTTATCTGTGCGCAATGACACAAAGACGCCTCTCTCTCCGTTGGCACTGACAGGTTCAGTGATGCGAATATTTACTTTTGAGAGATGTGTGAAGGATATTAAGAAAGACTCGAGGCGGAGAACCATGATGTTTTGCTATTTGTGTAAACTGGTTTGACAAATGTACTTACTGTTTTGCAAATTTCTATTCTGATCTGAGATGTACCAAAGCGACTGAGAAAAACTGCAATTTGCTGTTGATCTCCTCCAAAGCGATCATTTTCCACGGCCTTAACGAAACCGCGAGACAACAAATGGCTTCTCAGTCCAAATGGATGCTGGACTTGTTGACATACCGTTCAAATAATTTGCAAGACATATTCTTACCGTAAACACCTTGGCAGCGGGCAAGGGGATAGATGCTAGAAAACAACAAAATCCACAAAAACTCCATCTTCAGCTATGCTCCGTCATAACCTAAATAAAGGAATAGAAAGGAAATCCTGTCACTTTTAAAAAGCTGAGTGATTTCTGTCACACACACACACACACACACACACACACACACACACAAAATGAAAGAACTACTACAGTAAACCTTTTTGGCCAATTGTTTTTTGTTTTTTTTTTTTTTTTATTCTAAACCTTTAAGCCGTGAAAGTAATATTCCCGAACAAGCTCCCACTACACGGCCTACAACATTTCATTCAATTTAAAGGGCGGGTAATTCAATCACAAATGGTGGATTATAGGAAGCTTACAAGCAAGGCATGTTAGCGCATCAGAGACGGACATGCATTGTATTTGGGAGCACTTTAGCGTGACTGTCCTCTCGTCATTGTGAGGTAGGTCCAGTTCAGTACCGGAGCTGCGGATTGCAGTAATCATGGGGGATGCCGTGCACTTAATGCACACACACAGACATTTGCTGTAATCAAAAGAGACTAAAAACATGAACATCCTCAAAGGACATAACACTTGCACAAGCTATGGCATCTTCATTTTTGTTTGAAATTGTCAGATGTGTAACAATTTTAACATGTTGAGCTGTTCCTAATATTTTGAGGCTATAAAACTTAACCGGAATATTAGAGACCCACTTTACGATGCAGTCCAGTTCCCAATGAGCAAAACAGGAGTGAAAGAACCAATACTACGACCATATGTGTCATATAAGGAGTGCCCTCGTACTTCATCGGAAAATTATTTCTTTACTACACATCGTGTATGTTTGCTCAACTATCTATGCCAGTGACGTATAGGGACAGGCAGAGCAATTAAATCCTCTTCCACTAGATCGCAGTCGTAAACCTGCGTATCCACTTTTTGTTTGGTGGTGTCCCATGAGATTTGCTTCTATAATGTAAAATGTTTGCCTTTTGACTCCAAATGTAGGGAAACACTTTTACAAAGGCATTTTTGTGCATCCAGCTCTTGAATCGTAAGTGTGCAGGTGTCCCTAATTATGTGACCAGAGGTTTGCCTGTTACTTCGCAGCTTCTCACTGTTGGAAATCTCCAAAACTGGAGGGTGGAAATACTTTTCCTCAACGAAGTTGTAATGCAAGATGATCAAAGTATTTTTTTAATTACTGTAAAATATTCATGCGAGTTTCAAAATAGCACTGCACGACATGACGCCAGTTTATTATCAAACGTCGTGTGCTTCTCATTTCTGGTGAGGGTAATCTCCACCCCCTGCCCTCCAAAATAATTTTAAATGCATGCAAAAGTGCGTGCAGATTCATGCTGCACATAAATCGTTCGGGAGGGGTCTCGGATAAAAACGTATGTCCACTAGTCATTGAGTTCACTGGTGGCCGCGTGCCCGTCTACCTTACCTCCGTGCGGTCTTGTGGGTCAGCCACCTCCCCGGCGCAGCGCGCTCTCGCGGGCTCCGCTCACAAAATTCCACCGCTGCCGCTTCTGCACCACGAAAAAAAGTTAGAAATCCTCCCGGAAATCACTTGGATGACTTGAAAGAAATCCCCTCAGTCGTTTTGACACTTTCACACCAGCTCCAATCCAGGCTGCCAAAATTCAAACCAAAAAAAAAACCCAAAAACAATAAAACCACTTCTCCTCACACAGTCCTCCAATTGTTGTGCGCAATGGACGGTGTAACTCTTACAAGGCTTGTGTGTGGCTGTGGGTGTTGGGGTGGAGAGGCGTAGACCTCCGCTCTGGTGAGGAGGCTCAATCAGAGCCGTGTCTGTGGACTCCAAGTGATGCTGGCCAAGTGCGAGATGTGCGCTGACTGAGAACGAGCGCGTCTGTCTGTGCGCAGAGAGGGAGAGAGAGAGGAGATGGAGAAATAGAGAGATGAAGGAGGAGGAGGAGAGAGGGAGAGTGAGAGAGAGAGAGAGGGGGGGGGGGATAACAGAGCCCCCACAGTACTGAGGAGGAGAGGAACAGGTTGTCCAAAAAGAACACTAGTAGGTAGCTCCCCAATGGGTCGCCATGGAGTGTTGTGCACCACTTGGGAGGAGTTCAACGCCAATTAAAAACGAAGAAAGTTTTTCTTTTTCCCCCCTTTGGGATGGGGGACATAAGTGGGGGGCGGGGAGGGATAACTAGTAACCCCTCGCCTGTGACAGGCAGTAGCCAGCCACACTGATGACGTCCTCCCCCTCGCTCTGTTCCTCCAGAGAGTGGTGTACTTACATGTTGGTCCACAAGAGGGCCCCCTTTCAACTCAACACACATTCAGCTGGGCTTGGAGCCTCCTCAACGGACGCCTTATTAGGTACACTAGTCGCACAATACAAGAGTTGTATAAATATCAGAGATACTGGTATGTCTTGTTACTCCAATTTACAGTATATTTATACACAGTTTTCACCGATTCCATCCAGTGATGTCTGAAATGCAGCTCACATGCATTAATTTTATGCTAATGTGACAACAGTCCATATCCCAAGTAAGATCAAACAAGCGTTTAATGTTTTGAGCATTGTGGCTTCAATTATTTTGGATAACATTAAACAAATGAAATGCACTCGAATATGACCCGCAAGCCAATGAGCAAGGTCCCCACCTGGGAGGTCAGCCATATGTTCATTAGCAAGAGAAAGGAAGGGATATTCAACTATTCTTCAAATCTATAATTCAAGGTGAACACACTGAAGTTATGCTTTATGTTAAATACAAAGCAAGCAGACTTAGAATACATGGAACTCAAGTAACACATAAAAAGCAACATATTCAAAGTAAAGTATATTGCACTTAGAGTGTTTCTAATATTTTTAGATTTTTACTTACATAGACACGTAATTGGCATTAAGATGTACAAAGGTATGCGACCAGCTTATTATTGTTGTTTTGTCTCAAAATATGGTACAGTTACTGTATTAAGTCAAAAAAAATGTTGATGATAATTCATTTTGTTCACCCTCACTAGCCGAACACAAGTTTCTTATTAATGTTGCCACTTGCTGTCAACCGAAAATGACATCACAGTGCCCAAGGGGCTCAGGTAAGGACCAATTATGGCTCACCTATTTTCTGGGTTTACTCATGTGACATTTGCAAGCTGAGCCCTTGGCACTATGATGTCATTTTCAGTGCCCACTTTACAGATGAAGATCTGATCTATGATAGCCCTGACCAACTTTACATCTTCCACCCATGAAGATCTAGCATTTCCTTAAAAATAAAATACATTTCATCATATAATTTTATCTTATTTTCTCTTAAGTTATTTTAAGTTTCCTCCAACAGTTTCACACTGCTGAGATTTATTTATATATGGTCAAACTAATATAGCAGCACCAATAAAAAACACTTTACATTTTTGAATCTCTCATTTATTAAGGTCCTTGAATGTACTTATTGGATTTATTCAATATGGCAAAGATTTTAACCTGAGTTCCTATTACATATTCATTTGTGCTTGGGTAACGTTTGCTTTATCATCTGCGTCCACCTCTCGAAGGTAGGACACGTTCGGATAGATAGTTGGAGTCTATTTTAGTGCACTATGTTCATCTGTTAATATTAAGTATGAGTCACTGCGGTAATGTAAACATGGAAATTGGCATTGACAGATAAATAATTTCCTGTTGTGAGTCACTTTGCCCTTAATTCAAACGCACACAAAAACACCCACCACCACCATTAATTACTACATCCGCCTGACCACTTCATTACGTTCACCTGCACGAGTTCCATTTCAACAAAACATAATAATGATGTGTGGTTTTAAGAGCAGTAGCAATTTAACAATATGTTCATAATTGTGCTTGTTTGCACTGCATCACAGTGAGACGCGCTCCTAATATTTTGACCCGCGTATGTACTCTTCTGCAAACTACAGCAGCAATGACGAAACAGATAAATTTGTATCCGTCGGCCAGTGAGTGCACACTGAAAGCATATGCATAAAAAATACATTTGTGGTGACATTAGCGCAATTTGAATTATCATCCTGCATCCCCTCTAAGCATAAATGAGTCTCAAATTCAATGTAGACATTATTCAGATAAAAATGCACTGTAATTTAATGCAGTGGTTAAAAGATGCTCTCAAGAAATAACATTGGACGCTAATGCAGGCTATCGCATTGGGCTAATATTCTTGGAGACATCCGAGCTGAGTAAACCGGAGATGGGGTAGGCGAAGTGCAGTTATTGATAAGCGGTCACTGAGACGTATAATATTTATTCTGTTTTCTGCGAACACACTCGCTGCTGGCATAGTTGAGCTTGAACATGTTTTGGAAGCTTCTCATAGATTGGCTGTAATGCTGTACTCTGAATGATGCTGTAACATTGAACTAAATTACCATCCATTTCATTTTTAGACCACTGCCTTTCATATTAAAAATAAACAAATAAATGACACTCACATTCATACATTCTTCAATAAATAGAACTTAACACCAGTTTTCATATGCCATAGTTGTGATATATTTTCAATGACCTTTTATCAAAAATGTGTCCCAGTTTTTGTACACACGCTTGTTTTTCGGACCAGAACTGGACGACTCTGCCATTTATTTCCTAGAATCGACGTGCCATGCCATGCCATGCTCTTGTTAGCCGTTCTTTGTTTCTCGGTGAGTGAGCATCACCCTGAAAGTCCGCAATGACAACTGAGTTCTTGTGGGTTAGGTGTCCAGTGAAAGACAAAGAAAAGTAATCCGGGAGAGAGAGGAGAGGATTCGTCTTTCAAACAACAACCTCACCTCACTCCAGTTATCTCAAAATCATGCGATTTGTTAATATTTTGGAGGGTTCTGGAATGAATTCATTGGATTTCTTCACAGAAATATTGCTTCCGTTTTTGTACATTTTTGGTTTTAGTCCAACTTTTTTGGAACAGGTTAATCATGAAAAATTGAGGTTATACTGAATGTTTTGGGAAAATTGCAGATATTCTCGGCTGCGAGGCAGACATGCTAATCAATACACACCTGTGCTACACCCTTGAACGACATTTATGAAATTACAGGCCTGGTAATAACAGAGTTGGATTTTTTATTCCAGTTTTTATTTTGTCTTGACTTTTGTTATTTGAATTCAGTAAACTTTAATTCGTTTTTAGAGCAAATTTGTTATTTTTTATTAGTTTTTTTGGGGGGGCGGGGGTAAAAATGCTTTGTTTTGGCTTAGTTGTTATTAGTGTTAGTAGTAGTCGAGTGCAAGATATAGAAAAAAGATCACAATGTATTGTGCGATGAACTAATGTACAATTCTCAAACAACTGTTTGACCTTCCTTCTTTTGTAGCTACGTATGTAACGAAAGCTCATTTATGAAATCATTGGCAAAGAAGAAAACAACGGACGTTTTTTTCTGTAATTACATTTAGTTGTCATTAGTTTTATAAACCTACAGTGGAGATTCCTTTGGGTCTCGATTTTTAAAAAGCCTTGTTTGTTTTTTAATTATTTTGATGACGAAAATACTTTTTCAGTTTTAGTTTTAGTTCGTTAGTTTTCGTTAATTATAATAACATTGATATCCATCATACGCAGTTTGTATCGTAAGAATGACAGGACATAACAATGCATTGTTTCTAAAAGGGTCTGCAGTCATTATATTAATTACCTTAAAAACCTGACAAATTCGCAAACAACACAGTCCATCACTGTTGAGGTTCTTGGTGGACCAACTAAGAGACAATGCAGCAAACACTCAACATGATGGGATTTTATTTAGAGCAGCCATTAAGAGTGCTGCACACTGTAATGTGATATGAGGAGCTTAGTTAACGCTTTTTCTCTGGCACCAAGATCTGTAATTGATGTTCCATCAGTGCAATTCAATAAGCGCTCCGAGTGCTGTATATCAGGGACGAGCGCTTCCCACACACCAACAGATAAATGGATGGGAAAGATCCACTTGAGACCGTCAATAACTTCATTGTATGCGTACATGTGTGACACAAGTACAAAAGAAAGGCAACTGTTCAATAATGATGAAAGGCATCGATACGCGATACAATAAATACAAAGTCTCGAGTGTAAATATAAGTACAATAGAAATATAATACATTCCGCTGAGATGCTGATGCAGACCTCCTTTGTTTGCTCTTGCCTGTTTGTAAGCTAGCTGTGCCCCCCCCCAAAAAAAAATCCACTTCCAGGTTGAAACAAGCCAGCAAGCAATGGTGTTGGTTGACCTGTCCTGACATGACATGTCCCGCGCAACGAAAAAATACATTTTTAATGATGTCCGACATTGTGCTCCCCCTTAAATTAATCTTACCGTATTGGCCCGAATATAAGACGGCCCTGATTATAAGACAGCCCTCTCTTTTTCAAGACTCAAGTTTGAAAAAAGACTTTTTGAACCCCAAATTAATTTTTATACAGAAAATAATTACAGTACATCTGAAACAAATAATTATAACAATATATTTGAAAGAAAGAGCATGTTATTTTGCCTCATTCAGATCTAAAGTGCAATCACATTCGTAAATGAATGGCTTCTGGTTTGTGAAATGTAAATTACATCATAACTTCTCCTCAGCTGCCGGTTAACCTGGCCGATCTTCGACCCACTTTTCTCCAGATTGTCACTATGTTTCTCCATTTTCTGTTACCTCTTCTATTATTTTCTTCTCTTTTCCTTCTTACCGCTATTTATTATTTTTCTTCTTCGTGCCACCGCTACTTTTATTTTTATTCTTCGTGGCAGGTGTTCACTTTGGCCTGGGAAGTCAAGTTCAGCAGATATCTGGCGCTATCTAGCGACATGAATGGGTATAATGTCTAGACCGCGAATATAAGACGACCCCCTCTTTTTCAGTCTTATTTCAATGCAAAAAACACCGTCTTATATTCGGGT